CCTTCGTGCCCCGAGCACCTCCTGCGCCAGTCCCATGAGTCTTTGCCATGTCACTGACCTGTCGATGACCAGTTGCTGCTGGCGTGCCTCCTGTTGCGACTGTCGGATGTCTGTCTGCAGTTGTGTTATCAGCGCATCTCGGTTGGCCTTGTCCATTGCCACAGTGACTGTGACTGTCCCGTTGTGCTTGTTTGTGTCGCGGTGTGTGGCGGTGGTATCTCTGAAGGGCAGTGCGTTGCCAGTCTGTTGTGTGCGAGTGACGCAATCATGAACATGTGGGATATGCATTTTCAGATATGCATTTTAGGGACTGAAGCCCTAAAACCCTAACTCTAAATATGGGACGAACGAGACAGCCGGGTAAATATGTGATGCAGAAGAAATATTCTAGACCCTAATCCTAAAGCCTAGCCACAACACGCAAGACACCGTTAGATGAGATGAGTGGCCACGTATGTTTTTGTTTAAGGTTTGATTCCGATGACACGTTTTTTGTCAAAATATGGCAGTCAGGCGTGTGCATCGACTGTGTGAACCAAGATTCGCTGATGGGCACACCAACGAAAAACCTTCCACCCAAACCCTAAACCCTCAAACCTACTCAACCCTAAACCCTATCGCGCGCTACGGCATGTTCCACATATGACAACACACCTGTGGTGGCAGTTGCTGCAGTGCATCTGACAGATTCGCTGCGGCAGATTCGTTTAAGCCAATGGACCCCACCGACGCAGAAGTCAAGGCCAACTGAGAACCCTGCACACACAGATGAGACAGCAGCACATGTACCAAAGGACACAAAGGAAGAAACAAATGAAACAAAAGAAACAAAAGAAACAAATGGAACCAATGAAACAAATGAAACAAAAGAAACAAATGAAACCAATGAAACAAAAGAAACCAATGAAACAAAAGAAACAATGAAACAAATGAAACAAATGAAACAAATGAAACAAATGAAACAAATGAAACAAAAGAAACAAAGAAACAAATGGAACCAATGAAACAAATGAAACAAATGAAACCAATGACCAGTGTGAATGTTCTAGCCCAGATGAGGAGGAAAGCTCAAAGAAAATGCCGGGCACGCCAACTGGCATATGCTGCATACATATGCAATACATATAAATACCAACATCTATACATACGCAAAAACGTGTCTATCTATATAGATACACATATACATCCAAACCCTTCCACCAACCGCTCTCAGACGTATTACCCGCAATGTGCTAAACCCTAAAACCCTAATACGCTCAATGTACTAACCCCTAAAACCCTTGTACGCGCAATGTGCGCCGTCACTCACCGCAGTCAGTTGCGAAGTGGCGTAGTCCAGCAGGCGTGACTCTTCCTCGGCATCCGACGTTTTGATTGGTGCGTTGCGGATGTCTTGTGATTTGATCTTCACATACGGATACTGTGCCCTCGTCAGCTGAGGGAAGGTGCAAAGGCACATGCCCGCGTGCGGGTGGAATCAGAACACAATACAACCCCAAAAACCTAATACACTAAACCTTAAAACCTTAATCTCCCACTAACCCTAACCCTTAACCCCTAACCCCTAAAACCCCATTACATTAAGGGTTTTAGATTTTTAAAACCCTAAAAATAATAATTATTACATCAAATCGTATAACGCTTTACCCCAACAACCGTAATACATTAAACCTTATAACCCTAAACCCCAAGAACCCTAAACCCCTAAAACAACACCCCCCTAAAACTTGACATAAAAGAGAACGACGATACGAGTGCACATGACAGTGATATGGTCTGCTGAAGGGAATGCAGTGCGTCAGCTCATCTGCGATATACATTGCCACAGACACATCAAATGAGCACACTCACCACTCTTCGACTAATGGAATCAGTGCACCGTATGAGTGTATAGCCAATACTCGCCCATCCCACACCACACCACACACAACAAAAAGGGCCATTGCCATGAACCAGTGGGCTCTGCGTGCCTCCAGTGGGTCTATTGCCATTGTAATGACGTGTTTGCCAATGTGAAGCGTTTTGCTTCCATAGAACCATGGAGTGTATATGTGTATTTTACATATTTATATATATATATATATTTAACTATATTTTGCTTTCATAGATCCTTGGAGTGTATATATGTATATTACATATTTATATATATATAGATATGATATATGTATAT